CAAACTCCGGCCGGCCAGCGTCTCCTTTTCAAAGAAGGGCAAGCCAACTATTCCCTGGGGCTGCAACGGGCTCAAGAGGTTTTGCTCGAGCGGATCCGAAAGGGGAAAGAACTCCTGAAGCCATGCGAGAACCCTGAGGAGTTTGACTCATCCATCTACTACTCTGAGGACGAGGACGCCAATGGCGGGGGCGAGGACACCGCCGGTAACTGAACGCAGCTGGGCCCACCGATGAACTCCACCCTTAGTTTTTTTTTCCTTTGATGTAATGTTTCTGCGCTCGAACAATGTATTTTGCACCGCGCAACTATCACCCTTGACTCTTCGTGGTTTGTGATGCCTATCGTTTTGCTTCGTCTTTAATTGTATTTCCGCGATTGTTTTGGAGGCCGAACGGCCGCTGCCGGGGCGCTTGCCCATACGGGACCACGCCCACGCTTAGCCCGCCTAGGCATGTTAGCCTCACCTCGTCGCCCAACCGAGGACGAGCGCGGGCTCGCCCTCACAAGGAGGTGCTCAGACCAAACGTCTTAACCTTGGTGCCTTTGTCCCCTGGTCCGTTCTACGATGTTTGCGCCATGTGCTCTCCCCTTTTTCAGGGATGAATAAATTTGAATTTAATATTTTTTTTTTTGTATTTTGAACGTGAATATCTGACCTCCATCCGGGAAGAACATCCGGGTACGGCCTACGCTCGGCTTCCTCCCGAGGAGGAGTGCCGAGCGCAAATGTTTGACCTTCATCCGGGTATGGTCTGCGCTCGGCCTCCCTCTTGAGGAGGAATGCCGAGCACGAGTGTTTGACCTTCATCCGGGAAGAACGTCCGGGTATGGTCTGCGCTCGGCCTCCCTCTTGAGGAGGAACGCCGAGCACGAATGTTTGACCTTCACTCGGGAAGAACATCCGGGTTTTTTTTCTTTCTTCTTCTTTTTTTTTTTTTGGTTTCTTTTTTTTTTTGGTTATTATTTTGAACGTGTGTTTGACCTCCATCCGGGAAGAACATCCGGGTATGGTCTGCGCTCGGCCTCCCTCTGGAGGAGGAATGCCGAGTACGAGTGTTTGACCTTCATCCGGGAAGTACATCCGGGTATGGCCTGCGCTCGACTTCCCTCCCCGAGGAGGGGTGCCGAGCACGAGTGTTTGACCTTCATCCGGGAAGTACATCCGGGTATGGCCTGTGCTCGACTTCCCTCCCCGAGGAGGGGTGCCGAGCACGAGTGTTTGACCTCCATCCGGGAAGAACATCCGGGTATGGTCTGCGCTCGGCCTTTCTCCTGCGGAGGAACGCCAAGCGCAAGGGTTTGACCTTCATCCGGGAAGAACATCCGGGTATGGTCTGCGCTCGGCCTCCCTTCTGAGGAGGAACGCCAAGTACAAGGGTTTGACCTTCATCCGGGAAGAACATTCGGGTATGGTCTGCGCTCGACCTTCCTCCTGAGGAGGGACGCCAAACACAAGGGTTTGACCTTCATCCGGGAAGAACATCCGGGCAGGTCTGCGCTCGGCCCTCCTCCTGAGGAGGAACGCCAAGCACAAGAGTTTGACCTTCACCCGGGAAGAACATCCGGGTATGGTCTGCGCTCGACCTTCCTCCTGAGGAGGAACGCCAAGCACAAGGGTTTGACCTTCATCCGGGAAAAACATCCGGGTATGGTCTGCGCTCGGCCTTTCTCCGGCTGAGCTTGCGTTCATCCCGGCTGCTAGGCGTAGTCCGCACAGGAGCGCTTCATATTCCGCTTCATTGTTTGATGCCTTGAAACTGAATCGAATTGAGTAGTATGCTCTGAAGCCTTCGGGAGCGATGACTACCACTCCACCCCCCGAGTTTTTGGCGGCGGAGAAGCCGTCGGTAAAAACTATCCACCCGTCCTCGGCTTCCGGCTCTTCCGGGCTCGGCTCCTCCCTCAGCGTCTTCGCCGTATAATACACCGGGTGCTGAGCTCCACCCTCTTCTCGGACTGGGACCGAGCTCAAAGCTTTGGGTGAAACTCCCAAGTATAAGTACAAGGTCTCCCCCGCTTCGGGTTTCGCGAGAACCGGAGGCTCTCGTCTTCCGAGCTTGGGCGTCGGCGCCTGTTGGACCTTGGCGACGAAGGCCATGTGCTTCCACCTCTTCCTTTGAGCGGCGGAGTCCCCGCCGATATTTCCTCCATGGATGAACCCCACCGGATATCCTTGGGCTTCGTCCTCGTCTAGATCATCACACTCTCGCCCAATGTGCCTCTTCTCGGGGTTCCTCGCTTGCGTGGCCACCGCGACCGGATCGGTCGGCTTCCTCCATGTTCTCCCTTCTGGTGGACCCCGGGAAGAGGCTGCTCCATCGTCTCGCGGAGCCGGCCCTCGGGCGATGAGTCGCTGCATCTCCTTCTGAAGAGTGAAGCATTCCTTAGTGTTGTGAGTGTTGTTGCGGTGATAATCGCAGTACTTGGCGCCGCTGTACACCGCATAGGTCTCTACATGCGGGAGCGGGGAGAGGGCCAGCTCTCGACCCGTCCCTGCGGGCGCACCCACGGAGTACACACCCGCCAAGGGCGTCCTCGGGCCCACAATCTGGTCTTTCTTCTTCTTCCTCTTCTTCGCTATCTCCTCTGAATCTGCGGGAGCTCACTTGGTCGGCGCGGCCTCGGAGTCAGGGGCATCATCGAATTCCTCTGAGGCCAAGAACTTCGCGCGCGCCAAGGTTTCTTGGTACGTGGGGGGAGGATTCTTGCGGAGCTCCTTCCTCACCTCACCGCGGGGAAGGGCTGCTTGGAACATGGCCACCAACGCTTGGTCATCCGCCCCGTGCACGTCTCTTGCTTCCTTCTCCCACCGGGTTATGAAGTCGCGGATCTTCTCTCCTTTGCGGATGCAGATGTTGAGCAGGTGGGAGTAAGGTAGCCTCTGCCTCCGGTTGGCTGCGAAATGCGTCAAGAACTTCTCCGCTAGCGTATCCCAGTCGTCAATAGTTCCCTTCGGGAGCCGGTTGAACCAATCGCACATGGAGCCCTCCAGCGTCGCGAGAAAGCATCGGCACTTGACCTCGTCCGGGGCTGCCGCCACTTCCATAGAAGCATAGAACTTAGACAAATGATCTTGGGGGTCCGTCGTTCCGTTGTAGGCCTTGATCTGCCACGGCCGGAAGTTTGCCGGAAGCGGAACCGACATAACCCTCGGAGTGAAAGGGGTTACCGTCCGCAAGATGGGCTGGCTGTAGGGAGCCCTGGTCTCCACTCGGCGCTTGAGCTCGGCAATCTCACGAGCGAGCCGAGATACCCCTTGGTCAGAGGCCCTTGTCTTCTCAGTTCTTGTTGGACTATGGCGACGCTGGGTGCGCTCGTCCCGTCTTTCTCCGCTCCGCTCGGGCCTGGCCGAGCGTGCATCCGAGGTCGCGGACTCCTCAGCATGTCTCCGCCTACCTTCGGTTATTTGTCGGCGGAGGTCGCCCGGGTGACCTCCCGGTCCGTGGTCGAGCCTGTCGAAGGCCGACACCCGGGTCTCTTCACCTCCTAAGCGCTTGAAGGCCGACACCCGGCACTCGCTGGACTCATCGTCTTCTCCTTCGGGGATGTCCTCCACTATCACCTCCTCAAACACCGGGGCTTTGCCGGGCCTCCTTTTGCTCCTACGGGTCTTCTTCCCCTTGTGTTGGGAAGTGGCAGCGTGTTCGGCATGGAGACCGGGCGGAGCTTTGCCACCTCCGGCGCCGGGCACGTTCCCACC